AGCGTGGGAAAATTTGAAGAGCGCGCCTGGAACTTTACGAGGAGTTTTGCCTTATTCTTGCGATCGTTCGTATGACGGAACTATGATGATTACCGTTTATTATCAATCAAAATATTTGCGTAAATGAGTTGAATTCGACACAATTCCATAGGGAATTTCAATCAGGATTAACCCGCGCCCTGGTGGGGGGGGCTATTTTTTGCCCCCCCTCCAGACTTTTCGATATATCTCCAGAACCACTGCGCCGATCGTCACCAAACTTTCAGTACCCTCCCGGACATCAATTTTACATATTGTGGCCAAAATTTTTTCCAAAGGCTATGATAGGTTGGCCGGAAATGACGTCAGAGTGACGTCATGTTCTGCCGTTTTCGACCCAAAAAAGGGTTTCGCGGGAAGAGCTGTCAGGCCTATAGCTTTGCAAATACAGAAAAATGATACATATATAAAAGCTGTAGAATGGACAGGGCTACAAAACTGCTATCTCGGATTTTTGAAATTTTTGGATTTTGACCCCCAAAAATCAAAAAATAGATTTTTTGAATATAATAGCCAAAAAATCCAAAAAGTTTTTTGAATTTCGAAAAAACCGGAATATATGTGATAGTCCTTACCGCCTTCTATCTACATACCAAATTTGAGATCGATACCTCTTTTTTTGGCCAAGTTATAGCGAAAAAACTGTTCAAAATTGATGACGTCAAATTTTCAAACTCGATTTTCAGCAATTCTAGACCTCGTAGCGCAAAACAAAGACCACCATTAGACTCCCCTTGACGAGCTGCATCGAATCAATACCCATTTTACGCAAAAATATCAACTTTGAAATTTGACCTTTTTTGACCTGACCTTGACCTGACCTCCACCAGAAAGTGACCTAAACCGTACCTGATGGTCTTATTACCAACACCATTGAGTTGGAAATGAAAAACTGGCCATAAAACATGCATCGCATAACCTTAGTAAAGTTGGGTTCATGTGGTGACCCTTGGTGACCTTTGGTGACCTGACCTGTGACCTGACCTGGTATGACCAGTGACCTCTAACAGCAACATATCTACTAGGCAACTGACGCCCTATCGCTGATTCCCGACAAAATGCGTTTTCCTCGGTGTTATAGCGCATTCCCTAGAAGACCCGTGAACGGTGAAACATTTCATCTTTGACCTGACCTGTGACGTCATCGGTGACCCCGAGGTCAATAAAATTTGGTTTCCCTCGACAAATTTGACAGGCCTTTCGAACGCCGTTTGAATTTTTCGGATCCGTCCAGTAGTTTCGGAGATACGAGGGGGGGGGGCAAAAAATAGCCCCCCCCCCCACCAGGTCGCGTTATAAACAGACCCCACCAGGGCGCGGGTTAACCCTCGCATGTGTGCGGCGTTTGCCAGCTTCTAATGTGTGTGTGTGGGGGGGGGGCGGTTAGACCCCCCCCTTGCCGTTTGGCCCCTGATCGAGCTAGAGCTTCGCGGAAAAAACGAACGTGTTGCCCGTGACGAGAGGAAGCCGATGATACCCAATTTTAAGGTCCTAGGTCATTGGTTGACCTTCCAGGTCAGGTCAATGACCCAAAGTCGGGAAAATCGGGACCTGTTAGAAAGTCGTAAAGTGTGGCTTCTAAGGGTTTTTTTCGGGGTGCTGATCACGAATATCGTGTTAGTTTTGATCACAGATGATGTCTTTAAGCATTTAGACCAGGTCGGGTCAGGTCAGGTCAGGTCAACCAGTAGGCGTCGTGACGGGTATTCGTAGTACGTGCCAACCGCCTCTGACAGCTTCGTAACATGTTACGAAGTCACCAGAACTACTTCGTAAATGTTCAAATGGTTGCTAAATTCGAATTCAGCTCCAAAAACTAGCCTAGAAACATGTAAAACTCGAAAAAGTGAACCGAGGTCACCCGAGGTCACGAAAGGTCAATGACCTGACCTGACCTTCAGGTGACCTTGACACCCACCCTAATGTATGGGAGCAACATCAAATCACATGGTTGAACGTTTGAAACCACGAAAAGCTTGCAAACGCGCGGCTAATGCGAGCCGACATACGCGAAATCGCGATTCCGGCCAAACATGGTCTCGGAAAAGAGGTCACAGGTCAAAGGTCATTTGAGTCAGGGTCATGAAATTTTTAGGATAGGTGTCAAATTGATCAATGCGAGGGTACTGAAAGTTTCGTCGCGATCGGCCGCTTTTTACGCGAGTTATTCGCGAAAAAACATGGGGGGGGTGTCCATCCGACCCCCCCCCCCTACACATGCGAGGGTTAAGGATAGGTACTCAACTTCCGAGACTAATCGAACTGCATTATTAGTTTTATAATATTTTAAGTTAATTTAGAGTTAACTTATGAGTTTAGGTATCATGCTCAATCCAGGTATTTTCTATTATTTGAATTTAATCTATTTATTCAAATTGACATAAATTTATTCAACAGTGTCCGTAAATAATAAATGATAAAAATGAAAAAAAAATGCTTGGCCAATGCCAAGGACATTTAGGTAATACGGTACGGGCTGATTCAGGAGTATTGGCCATGGATAATAGCAATACGGGGCAAGAACAAGAAGAAATAACACGCTGTCCGGTACATCACCGTTCCTGTGCGTCTGAAGGTGGTGGCTGACCGGACAGCTGACTGGACGGCAGGCGCTGATGATGTGGCTGACCGACCCGATAGTCCAGCTGAGACGGCACGGGACCGGCCTGCCGGGGCTGCGCTGCTTTGGTGGGGCGCCATTACCGGCAGGACGACCACTCGGCGGTCGGTCACTCCTTCACAGCAGCAGTGTCCAGCACACGGGTACTGGCGGTCACACACACTCCACTGAACCAGTCCAACCCGTCTTTACACCTCACATCTGCCGCGGTCACAGCTCAGTGTCACTCCTCTGCAGCAGTCGGACGCACACTGCCGAGACCCAGCCCCTGACCCCTGACCCTCCCCTGCCCCCCCCCCGTCCCCCGCGCCGGCGGCGTTCGCCGGGTGTCGAATAACACCGCGCCGCTGCAGTCTGAAGAACAGCGGCCCCGCACAGGCGACGGACGAGGTGTCGGCTGGGCCTGACGTCTCGTATTACGATTGAGACACCATCCCCGGCCTTCGGAGTCTCCACACCGGCATGCATGGCTGCCAGCGAGTCCAGCTGTTTTCACACAAAGCATGTCTTGCTAATGCTGCCCTTTTGTGCTTTTGAGAAAAAGATCAGGTGGAGGTGCGCAATGTGCATCCGAACTCCGAATGCTTAAACCGTTTAATTAGCGCAGCATAGTTCGATTAGGTGTATAGCGTTCTAGGTTCGGAGAGTGCGTACTGCTGGGTAACTTACGTCGAACGATAAATGCGTAGGCCGTAGCTAGCGTATTTACAGTGTTGATAAGATCTGCTTATACACCTAGAATAACATTCCTTTCAAATGCCTCACCCAAAACAATGTGCCTTTTCATTCACCATCTCATAAAATAAACTCGTTGCCTTCGCAATAGAAACGATCTTTGCATGAGGTATACCTACCCGTGGATGATGAAAAATGTCTTCTTTTTTTCTTGAGTTGAAGCTATATATAGTGTACCTATACCTACTTATCTGCTCTGTTCGTAGATGGCGTACTGATATTACAAGCGGCACAGGTTGATAAACAAATAAACGACGGCGGGTTTTTGGCACACACCATATACCTATATCTTCTCCGCACACGTTTTTTTTTAATCTTAGGTTCAGATCATTCAGCGTCATGCTGCTATAGGCCTCTGTCACGTCAAGTGACTTATGCCTCAAGAAAATAATAAATTGCTCGCTACATTAATTCCGGTATTGGTGCTTTACAGCGCTTTATTTGGCGCTTTATACACCCTATGCTGAGGTTTTCAGAGCAATCGTTCAGTCGGTAAGTCGTCATCGTCACAATGACGATGACGATTAACCGACTGAACGATTGCTCTGAAAGTCTCAGCGACACTTTACGGTAAAGGGTGTATAAAGCGCCAAATATAGCGCCGTTAAGCACCAATACCGGAATCTCGATATTGGTGACCTGCGGCCATCTAAAGGCTCCGAAAAGACAATTGCTTATTTCACGGTTCCCTCTTTTCCATCATCAGGACATACAAATTCTTCTCCTGCACGCATCAGCCGACGGGCAACTTTATCCCATGCGGGAATGCCCGTAAAGAGCACGTCCGTAGCCGGGTGTGGCGAGTGCTGGTCGGCCTATCCTCTGGACGGCTCAGCCCCGGCGACTCAGCAGGGTGCTCGCCCAGACCAATGTCTTCCTCTAATTCCTATCATGCTTCCGGCCCTGAAATGGTCTCGTCAGACCGAAAGGCCTAACCCAACAAAACAAACAAATTACTTATTGAGCAAGCCCCAATGTTATCATACTGGAAATTCCATTAGGTACTACCTGGCGCGTGTCACGGTGTGAATATGAGCCACTAGCACCCCCGGCGCGGTCCAGGCTCGCGCCGCCAGTCTCTGGTCGGAGCTCAGAGACTGACCTGCCTCACTGACGGCGTGCGGGCGCAGGTCAGTCACCCCACCGCGCCGCCGCGCCGCCGCCGCGGCCGGCGCGAGGCCATGGGACGGCCGGCCCGCGGCTCCGGCGCCGTCAGCCCAGCCGCCGCGCCGCCCAGAAACAAAACCGTTCAGCTTTTACTCAAATTCATTCGTACTTATCTTAAGATAATATTATAACGGTACTACCATTCACATCCGGGGAGTGCAATTGTACGTATGGCTATGAAGGAGGAGCAAAACATTGGAACTCCAAATAGTACAATTGACTTTAAATAGCTTGAACTGAAATCAGTACCTACCATATTTTAAGTCTATAATTTGCATTCTCATTTTATCCCGGTTTGAATAAGGTTTACTGTATTGGTGAGCCGACGGATCGGGTCGGGCTGGGCCGCGCGGCCGGCGGAGAGGACGGATGGGGCGGGGAGGGGAGGGTCGGGAGGCTGCCACTGACCTCCGGCCGGAGACGCCGCCGAGAGGAGCTCAGAGGAGCCCAGAGGAGCCCGGCCCGCGGACCGAGCCGTACCGCCGTGTCAGTGACGGCCGCAGGTGCGCCAGCCGCCGGTCGGGGCAGGACGAGCGGGGTCAGAGTGCAGAGTCCCAACCGCTGGACAGAGGGACCCGCCGGTGACCGTGTGAGTGCACAGTGAGAGCTGCAGCTGACAGCGGGCCATGGCCGGCCCCGCCGACTGGTGACCGGTCCGTCACGGGACTCTCCAGCAGGCTGGCCCCGACAGGCAGCTAGGCCTCTCTCGCACAACATGCCCGGTGAGTAGGCATCACGCTCATACACCCAACCCTCCTAACAGTGTTCTTTTACCTTCTTCCTGGTGTTCATTTAGAAGCGCGAGTAATTTAAGCGGGGAAGGGACTAAATTAACTTTCCTCAAGTGCTCAGATATGTACTGTGCAATTACACCGCTAACGGTGTTAATATTTGTGTGTGTGTGTGTCATAAATATTGAAGCATGCTGAGAGTAGCACACTTACAAAATGACTAAGCACAAGGCAGTCAACTTCGTTTAACGGGCAATTTAGCACTGAGGACCGAATTTGTGGCATTGGTGATCAGTTTGGGATCAGACAGGATTTTCCGCATTCTGTCAGCGTTATAGACCTACGATTCACCGACTGAGTTTGAATGGTCTCCAGACTCAGAGCCGTTAACGGTTAATTACGCTTACTTGAATCTTAAAGATATGGGGAGAACCGTCTAGGACTGAGGACATGGCAAATATGTGCCACTGCACTTTATTAGTTGTTCAGCCCGCGCCGTGCTAGCGGTCTGAATTTTCCATGCAGCAGTGCCTTGGGGGAGGGCTTTTCACGCCCCCCCCCCCTCCCCCGGCTAATTCGGCTCCTGGGCCACGTAGCGACACGCGGTAAGCGGTATTCGAAAGAACGTAAAAATGAAAAAGGCAGTACTCCGATCATGTTTAGGTCAGGTCACCAGATGTCATCACAGATCAAATTTGGCCTATTTCAACATTTCTTGACAAACCAGCGTATAACTCCGGCAGTCAATAGAGCTGCGCGCCGCGAAAATGCGCATTCGTTAGCTCTCTTACCAACGCTATGTCTGGAGGAAGCTCTCCGCCAAAATCTGAATAAGCTCTCAGCATTGACCTAAGATCACCGTTTTAGCCTCCGAAGGGCAAAAGCGCTTAAAATAACCTTAAAAAAAACTTTGTATGTATAACTTAGAACTCAATAAAGGCACGGCATTGCTTTTGGTAGCATCGCCCTCATCTCGTCGAGTCGCGTGGAATGAAATGTAGTTCGACCTCAAAATACTATTTCTAAAAGTTGACCTAAGATCAACTCAATGTCATGACCTGACCGGAAAAGGCTATGTTGTATATCAGACGTCAGTCGATCCGTATCGTTGAGCTGAATACATATGTAAAAGGTGTTTTAATCGCTTTATGTGGGTCTCTATCACAGGCTAATGTCATTTCATGACCTGAGATGACCTCAGGGACATAAAGAGGGGTCATGGGTGGAAATAGTTTTGTTTTTGCTCCCGACGGGCTACAGCCCTAGTCGGGGTAGGGGGAAGTTACTAGCTGGCAATTAGCCAGATCTTCCGTTTTACTTTCACGTTTTACGGCCCTATGTTATTCCGGCCCAAGGCAATATCAAGAGCAAAGTTTACGTTAGACCGGCTCATGTGACTTCCGGCGGAAGCAAGTGCAAGGGAAAGCCAGAAAGGGTGCCAGAGTGGCTATGCCGACTCCGAGAGGGATTTTGAGTACTTACATGTCTTGCTGCTGTAACTTGATGCTGAAATGTGGTAGTGTTGTAATGTGTGCTGTTGTTGTGTTGTGAGTTCCACCAGGAAAGTCCTAACTAGAAAAACCTGGTGCCTGTCTTTGAGGGCAGAACCTATGCGCTTTTGCCAAATTGCACAGGAAAAATCCCTTTGCTTTGATTCTGATTTGGTGTGTCATGTTCACCTGTCACCCACGTCCGTGAAGTTAGCGTCGTATTCCGCGACGGATTCAGCGTCGAGTCCGAATTTCAACTAAACCCAACCTATCCGATGCAGTTTGGGACGCTGATTCCGAATATCGTATTCATTTCAAATTTCAAGGTCATATTCAAGGTCAAATCACGGATTGAAATTGAGACCCCGATTTTTCCTACACCGATCGTCCGATCCGATTTCTGAAGATCGCATTCGAAAGCTAGGGTCAGAATCTCGAATTCCCTAATATATACCTTATTAAAAATACTTGACCTTCAAGGTCAAATAACGGATTGAAATTTTGAGTCCCGCTATTTTTTCTACACCGATCGTCCGATCCAATTTCTGATAGTCGCATTCGATAGTTAGGGTCAGAATCTCGAGTTCCCTAATATATACCTTATTAAAAATATTTGACCTTAAAGGTCAAATCACGGATTGAAATTTTGAGTCCCCCTATTTTTTCTACACCGATCGTCCGATCCAATTTCTGATGGTCGCATTCGATAGTTAGGGTCAGAATCTCGAGTTCCCTAATATATACCTTATTAAAAAAATTTAACCTTAAAGGTCAAATCACGGATTGAAATTTTGAGTCCCCCGATTTTTTCTACACCGATCGTCCAATCCGATTTCTGAAGGTCGCATTCGATAGCTAGGGTCAGAATCTCGAATTCCTTAATATGTACCTTATTAAAAATATTTGACCTTAAAGGTCAAATCACGGATTGAAATTTTGCGTCCCCCTATTTTTTCTACACCGATCGTCCGATCCAATTTCTGATGGTCGCATACGATAGCTAGGGTCAGAATCTCGAGTTCCCTAATATATTCCTTATTAAAAATATTAGACCTTAAAGGTCAAATCACGGATTGAAATTTTGAGTCCTTCTATTTTTTCTACACCGATCGTCTGATCCAATTTCTGATGGTCGCATTCGATAGTTAGGGTCAGAATCTCGAGTTCCCTAATATATACCTTATTAAAAATATTTGACCTTAAAGGTCAAATCACGGATATTCGACCTGAAAGATCACATCACGGATTGAAATTTTGAGTCCCCCGATTTTTTCTACACCGATCGTCCGATCCGATTTCTGAAGGTCGCATTCGATAGCTAGGGTCAGAATCTCGAATTCCTTAGTATATACCTTATTAAAAATATTTGACCTTAAAGGTCAAATCACGGATTGAAATTTTGAGTCCCCATATTTTTTCTACACCGATCGTCCAATCCAATTTCTGATGGTCGCATTCGATACCTAGGGTCAGAATCTCGAATTCCTTAATATACACCTTATTAAAAATATTTGACCTTAAAGGTCAAATCATGGATATTCGACCTTAAAGGTCACATCACGGATTGAAATATTGAGTCCCCCGATTTTTTCTACACCGATCGTCTGATCCGATTTCTGAAGGTCGCATTCGAAAGCTAGGGTCAAAATCTCGAATTCCCTAATATATACCTTATTAAAAATATTTGACCTTCAAGGTCAAATCACGGATTGAAATTTTGAGTCCCCCTATTTTTTCTACACCGATCGTCCGATCCAATTTCTGAAGGTCGCATTCGATAGCTAGGGTCAGAATCTCGAGTTCCCTAATATATACCTTATTAAAAATATTTGACCTTAAAGGTCAAATCACGGATTGAAATTTTGAGTCCACCTATTTTTTCTACACCGATCGTCCAATCCAATTTCTGATGGTCGTATTCGATAGCGAGGGTCAGAATCTCGAGTTTCCTAATATATACCTTATTAAAAATATTTGACCTTAAAGGTCAAATCACGGATATTGGACCTTAAAGGTCACATCACGGATTGAAATTTTGAGTCCCCCGATTTTTTCTACACCGATCGTCCGATCCAATTTCTGAAGGTCGCATTCGATAGCTAGGGTCAGAATCTCGAATTCCCTAATATATACCTTATTAAAAATATTTGATTACCGTATATATTATATAATATTATATTATATAAATATTTGATATTTGATTTGACCGTTATTTGACCTTTAAGGTCAAATATTTTTAATAAGGTATATAATAGGGAACTCGAGATTCTGACCCTCGCTATCGAATACGACCATCAGAAATTGGATTGGACGATCGGTGTAGAAAAAATAGGGGGACTCAAAATTTCAATCCGTGATTTGACCTTTAAGGTCAAATATGTTTAATAAGGTATATATTAGGGAACTCGAGATTCAGACCCTAACTATCGAATGCGACCATCAGAAATTGGATCGGACGATCGGTGTAGAAAAAATAGGGGGACTCAAAATTTCAATCCGTTATTTGACCTTTAAGGTCAAATATTTTTAATAAGGTATATAATAGGGAACTCGAGATTCTGACCCTCGCTATCGAATACGACCATCAGAAATTGGATTGGACGATCGGTGTAGAAAAAATAGGGGGACTCAAAATTTCAATCCGTGATTTGACCTTTAAGGTCAAATATTTTTAATAAGGTATATATTAGGGAACTCGAGATTCTGACCCTAACTATCGAAGGCGACCATCAGAAATTGGATCGGACGATCGGTGAAAAATAGGGGGCCTCAAAATTTCAATCCGTGATTTGACCTTTAAGGTCAAATATTTTTAATAAGGTATATATTAGGGAACTCGAGATTCTGACCCTAGCTATCGAATGCGACCATCAGAAATTGGATCGGACGATCGGTGTAGAAAAAATAGGGGGACTCAAAATTTCAATCCGTTATTTGACCTTTAAGGTCAAATATTTTTAATAAGGTATATATGAGGGAATTCGAGATTCTGACCCTAGCTATTGAATGCGACCTTCAGAAATTGGATCGGACGATCGGTGTAGAAAAAAATAGGGGGACTCAAAATTTCAATCCGTGATTTGACCTTGAAGGTCAAATATTTTTAATAAGGTATATATTAGGGAATTCGAGATTCTGACCCTAGCTTTCGAATGCGACCTTCAGAAATCGGATCGGACGATCGGTGTAGAAAAAATCGGGGGACTCAAAATTTCAATCCGTGATGTGACCTTTAAGGTCGAATATCCATGATTTGACCTTTAAGGTCAAATATTTTTAATAAGGTGTATATTAAGGAATTCGAGATTCTGACCCTAGGTATCGAATGCGACCATCAGAAATTGGATTGGACGATCGGTGTAGAAAAAATATGGGGACTCAAAATTTCAATCCGTGATTTGACCTTTAAGGTCAAATATTTTTAATAAGGTATATACAAAGGAATTCGAGATTCTGACCCTAGCTATCGAATGCGACCTTCAGAAATCGGATCGGACGATC